TATATATATATATATATATATATACAATATCATATTTTATCATTAATAACTTGCTTGTAATTATCATAAAATTTGTTTGAATGAAAATACTGACCTGTTAGAAGACTGTATGAAGCATGCATGACAATTATAAATATCCTTTTGTTATTATGTAATCACTGATTTGTCCATATCACCCATATAATACAAAGAAATAACTAAGCAAGGATATTTTTCCATACAAAAAAAAAACAATATTGTCAACTATTCAATATAACACATATAACGTAATAAACGTTTGAAAATAAGCACACACACATACACACACATATACACAAACAACACATATATGTATATACAATTTAATTTTACGTTAACACGTCAACATATGCCTAATTAAAAAATACTACGCATATGTGTAAATGACATATATATTTAGAAAAGGAAGAAAAAAAAAATAAAAACAAAGTCATAAAATTATATCCTTTACCTGAAAGTTCATAGAATTGGAAACAGGTGTCAGAACATCCAACAGGTGGGTCTATAGCAACGAAAATAACATTCATGAAATATAAAAGGAGATATATATATATATATGTATATATACACGTTACAACTTTTAAACGTTTCGGTTTAAATTTGTAAATAGATAAAGTTGTATGTACGTAAATAACTATTATCTTATAGATATAAAAACATTTACATATATAACGTTTACAACACGATATGAGTCAGAACGAAGTTATTTCAATCATTAATGCGACTATGTATATTTTATAAGAAATATTTATGACAATTAAATTAAATGATTTTGTCTTTTTTATTAATACTCATTTAATAATCAAATTTTTATTATTATTTACGTAAAATATTAACACTTACTATAGAAACGATTAGCAATTTATTCTAAATTTGCGTTTATCCACTAAGCTTCACATTAAACAGCAGCAGACTATCACTTCCTTTATCGATCGGAAATCTTCGGTAATGTTCGGTTATGTTCGAACGGTTACTCATATAAGCGCGAATTTTTGAAATAATATTTTTCTTATCGATCGATACTAAATTGTTATTTGTATAATTATCTGTTTAATTATTTCATAATTTTGATATAACTGTCATTTTATTATTTTTTACGAATAATTAAGATACAATTTGTAGGTTATTTTTATTCGATGTTTAATTTAAAATGGAAAATATATTAAGACAATCACAAGAAAATAAATAAAAAAAGAAGAAACATTAAAGCAATTTCAATTGATTAAATTGATATTCAATTAAATATAATTATTTAATCATTTTGATAATTGTCTTTTTATTATTTTGTATGAATAATTAAGATTAATACAATTTGTAGGTTATCTTTATTCGATGTTTAATTTAAAACGAAAAATATATTAGAAGATAATGATGAAAATAAGTAAAAAAAAAAAAAGAAAAAAATTAAAGCAAATTAAATTTAGTCCATCAATTATGACTTTTCTTTTATATTTCGAATAAATTATTTAATTATAATATGTGAATATGATTTTTCTATATTGAAATTGCTTTGTGTTGTTGCTAATATGAATGAAAAAAAAAAAAAAGAAAACTTCGAGAATTAACAATTTAGAATAATTCTTTAAAAAAATGTTCAAAATCCAATTGTGGAATGAATCTATTAGATTTGATTTTTTTATGATGATGGAAAATATAAGGTATTAAATTACTTGATAGAATTTTTCAATAATTTATATAACACCATATCATACACATCAACCAATGCTAATTCCTAAATATATGGACACTTTTTCTCAATACTTATCTTTGCCATCCGAATATAATTTATGTAGTTTCATTAAATAAAAAACATTTATACACACCATACTTTGACTGAATAAAACATATTGTAAGAATTATTATATTCTTAATTGTTTCTTTCTTGTATATATATACTTTGAATTATTTTCCGAATAAATATATCCTCGAAAGTAAATAATAAAATATTCCATCAATAAAAACATATTATATACATATTCTACTTTTAACAAAGTACATTTACTATTTCTTCTTTTATTTATTTATATAGTTTTTTTTTTTTNTTTTTTTTTTTTTTTTTTTTTTTTTTTAATTACTCTTGGACTTTTATTTTTTTTTCTTTTTTTTTTTTTGAAATATTTAGCATTTTATGAGATTGTTATTAGTATGAATCGCTGTATTGTTCTCTTTAATATTGACTGTAGAAACATCAATTATTTGTTTAACCTTATTACACAAAGGAGTTATATTTCTAATCTAAAAACACGTTTATAGAGATAAATCACTTATGAAGTTCATAAAATTTCAAGCATTAGTAAAAAATAGCTGCACGACGACAAAATCGTGTCTATGAATGATAGCTTTGCAACATAATACGATCATTGCACCCTGCATTTCTGTATAATCAAGGAAGACAACGTGATTGTTCGTTCGTATATTCATTATTTTTTTTTTGTTCTTTTTCTTTTTCTTTTCTTTTCTCTTTTTTTCTTTTTTTTTCTTTTTTTTTTTTTTAGTTTTACTTACGCATATTCATTTTTTTTTTTTTATACAGTTTTATTAGATATATAAATTGACGTATATTAAGAAATTAATGTGCGCTTTGCACAGATTATGCACGACATTGTCACCAATGCTAATTCGTGCATGCTCCTGACAGCAAAAGATGAAGGCATTGACGTTAGGATAATTTGAACTGAAACAAATAACAAACAATCAATGAACATGAGAACAATACAATATCTACTTTATCAACTGTAAATATAATATGTGCTTATAATTGAGCCGTTTATTTAGAAAGTGGCATAACACCATTTATGTTTGAATCGAGATATTGAAGAGTTTGCGTTTCAATGCAATTAAAAATATAAGTACAGGATACTAACGAGTCATACTGCTTAAGTATATCTAAGAATTTTAAATTTACAGTTCTTATTAAAATAGTGGCAATTATTAAGTGAATATTATGCGTTTTCTTACCAACAATGGAGTTGGGCCACTTTCTAAATGAATAACCAGATTTATTATAAAATTGAAAGGAGCCCAAGTACATTAAACATAATTTATGTGATTCAAAAGATTTGTTAACTATCAAACAGTCCATTTTTAATAATTACATTGAATTAATTTAGTTTAAAATAATGCTGTTTGAAATAACTGATAAACTCATTTTTTTTTTACTTTAGACACACATATTATATTAGGTTGTCAAGTATGAAATAGGGCAAAGTTCATGTTATTTATTTCAATTGCACATAACCTCATTTAGACGCCGTATTTTGGCATCATTTGTTTTTCGTATGAAAGATACATTCCTTTCCTCTTTTTAACGCATATTCCAGTTTGAAAAAATTTGCAATTTTTTTTTGTATACGTGATTAAGTGAGACCATGGAAATCCAGCTAAATTCGTGTGTGATGAAGGATGAGTTCTACCGTGGAGCCACAACACTGTAGGCAGTCGCCAATATCAATAGTGTGTTCGGCATTTAAGTGGCTACAAAATTGACTGTAGCCCGTTGGTTTGAGAAAGTTCGTTCGGGAGATTTCGACCTGTCTAATGAACCGCGTGGTCGACCCAAGACTCGGGTGGATAATAACGTCCTGAAAGCCACTGTGGAAGCGAATTCCAGCCAAAGTGCACGTGAATTATCATTAATGTTCAATGTATCAAAGCAAACAATCGTGACTCATTTAGCACAAATCGGTAAAGTGAAAAAGCCGGACAAGTAGATACCGCATGAATTGACTGATGCACAGAAGGAAAGAAGACTCGACGCATGTCTTTCTCATCTTTCTCGCAACAAAGCCGAACAATCTCTGAATCAAATCGTTACGTACGATGAAAAATGGATCATGTACGATAATCGTAAGCGTTCATTGCAATGATTGGACAAAGATGAACCACCAAAACACTGTCCAAAACGAGACAACCACCAGAAGAAGCTGATGGTCAGCTGTTTGGTGGTCTAGCTCAGGTGTCATCCACCACAGCTTTACGGAACCTGGCCAATCGATCACGGCAGACGTCTACTATTATCAACTAGACGAAATGATGAGAAATCTTGCGATTAAACAGATAAAATTAGTTAATCAGATGATTCTAATTCTCCTGCACGACAACGCTCGACCACATGCCGCACGAATGACCGTGTCAAAGCTACGGGAGTTGAAGTTGGAAACTCTCCGTCACCCACCATACTCACGAGACCTTGCCCCCACTGACTATAATTTCTTTAAAAATTGTAAACAACTTTTTATCTGGAAAACAATTCAATTCCACACAGGTTGTCAAAATGACGTTTCAAGAGTTCATCGACTCCCGTGATCCATGCTTATACAGCAAAAGAATAAATGAGTTACCTCTAAAATGGCAAGAATGTATCGATAATATGGGTGCATATCTTGATTAAAAGTAAAAAGTTTTTATTGGAAAAAAATCGAATTCATTTATGTGCATTGCCCCATGCATGTGCCCCATTTCATACTTGACAACCTAACAGATAAAAGAAAAAAAATAATAATTCATATATGAGGTATATAATTACTTGTCTTCTTCCTAATATCAGCATACTCTTCATGATTCATAGGATAATCTGGTATAGTAGAATGGCAACTAATTTCCAAATATCCATTATTTCCAGCATGTAACTCAGATAGTTGTACCATTAATTTAGCAGTTGCAGATAGTAATTGATCATCATGATGAGTATGAGGATAATGATGTACCGATGTGACATCCACCTATATATTACAAAATAAATATGATTAGTTAATAAATTTGATAATGAATACTCTTTATCGGAGAACAAAGAAATATTGATAGGTTTCTTTAGTATTGTGCCGTACCTTTTGAAACAACATGCTTGTTGTAGCGTGTGATTTAAAGTGCTATTAATAGTAGTGCTTGTTCTATTAGACAGACCGTGTTAGAAGAAAAGGAAAACATGAAGAAACCCAAGAGACATTGTGCTTTAAAACTATTTGAGTCCTACGATTGCATTAAAGGTGATGTAAATAAGTCCATGAAAATGTGCAGTCGCATATGTGCAGTCTTGAGGTGTGCGCACAGGTGACTGGTCAAAATATTCCAAGGTTCTCTGCATCCACAATGGCCAATGTTATGATATTATACAAGAAGGTGTTAAAGCATGATTAAACAAAGCGTGATCTTATTTCTAATTCATAAATGATATTAGGTATGAAAACATTGCACTCCGAATGCACTGGATTTTTACAATAATTTACAAATGCAAGCAAAGTACTTACTACGCCCAAGATCTAAAAAAAAAAATAATAATAACAAGAGAACGCATACAGGTGTATTCTAAGTGCAGTTAATTTGACTGTGATAGAACACAGGAGACATTTACATTAGTGTATTTAATTTGTCTCCGAAACTAACATTCAAATTAATAATAATATTGTTACATAAAAATAAATGTATGAAATTGAATTACATTACAAATAAATCTTTCTTTCATGTTTTTTTGTAGCATAAATATCGTAAGAAAATTCATCTATTTATAGCTCGCTCATTGTCATCTTTAATCAGTGTAATTATTTTTTTTTCTTTTTTTTTTTTTTTAATAGGCACTCTCTTATTTTGATGAAATGTTATGAGAAGAAAAGTTTGATTCAAAATATATTTTTAATTCACGTTGAAAGCCTTCCATATGATTGTGATGTTTACAAATGATAACTAAAAAGAAATACAAAATTGTCTTATTTTTCATTTTCTTCCTTTCTCTCTCTCTCTCTCTCTCTCTCTCTCTCTCTCTACAATATAAATATTGTTCTTAAAGAAGTGCATTGTAATAAGAGTGCAATATTATTGACATACCCTTTCGATATACAAGGTATTATGAAATAATACTGATGCATAAAATTTATTGCATTATGCAATATTAGGATTTTCATAAATTCCTTCAAAATGTAACATATAAAAGTAAAATCTATTTTGTTGATACTTATAAACACATATGATTTGATTATTTTTGATAAAAACTGAAATAAAAATATACTGTTAATTTTTTTTTTTTAAGACAAAAGTAATGTCAATCTGAAAACATAAACAGAAACATAATATAAAGAAATAAACTATGAAGGATAATATTTAAAAATATATATTAATATAATATATATTATAATAATCATATATTAATATATTTAATAATATTATATAATATAATATATAAATATATAATATACATTATAATAACCGTATTATTATATATAATAATATAATTATATTATATAATAATAAATATAATATAATATAGTATATATTATAATAATCGGTATTAATATATATATATAATAATATATTATAATATAAATATATTAAAATAATTAAAATAAACATATTAATATAAATATATAATATATATTATAATAACCGCGTATTAATATATATGTATATAAAAATAGGGGGGTTGGTTGGTTAGAGGGAGTGTATATGGAAGGTAAGCGTGGGTTACGAGTGCGATTAGAATATTAAAGAAGGTTTTCGAAGAGAGGGAAATCTAGTTTTAGAATGAGAGGAAAGAGAAGGCGGAGAGGTACCAGGAGGAGTGTGGGCGTGAAAGAGAAGTAGCTAGAGAGAAGGTCGTGGGATGCCGTGAAAAACGTTGAGGGTGAACAGCTACTGAAACTGACGGAAGAGAGAGGATCGCAGGCACATCGCAAACGGAAACGTCGAAGGAAACTAAACAGGAGAGTAGACGTACGTGGGCGTGAGGGTGGAGACGGTGATAGACTACGTCATGATGAATACAGCGGGACTAAACGAGATGTCAAAGTTCAAAATCAAAGAGAGAGGACGGTGTCGGACCACTTACCCCTGAGCGTACAATTCGAAGTAACGGAAGAGATTGGGAGGAAAGAAGCGGAAGAAGAAGACCCAAAGGACGAAGAGATTGAAATACAACTGAGGAAGCTGAAGAGATTGAAATACAATTGAGGAAGCTGAAGAGAAAGAAAGCGGCGGGTCAAGACGGCATTCCATGGGAAGCATGGAGGTTCTGTGAGGGAACGACATGGTTGAAATTGAAGAAGATACTGAAAAGGGTATGGAAGAGGGAGGTTTTCCCGAGCGAGTGGAGAAAGGGTATTATAGTCCCAATTTTTAAAAAAGGAGAGGTAGAAGAAGCAAACAACTACAGAGGGATAACGTTACTGGATACGGCCTACAAAATATACGCAGCTATTCTAAACGAGAGGATAAGGGATCAGATAGAAGAGAGAATACTGCCAAAGACACAAGTAGGATTCCGAAGAGGAAGGGGAACGATAGACAACGCATACGTCTTGCAGCATGTAGAGACCCTATAGGAGGGACGCGCCATGTACATTGTTGGGGGACAGGAACTCGTGTAGTCACATGATTGCGCGCGAATGATTCAAACGATAAGTTATAGGTTAGGTTTGTACATTTATACTTGTAATTATTAAATGAGTAAATTAAACTTACACTTATAGAAAACTACTAAAAAAAAAMAAAACAATTAAAYATAAATATCACAATAAAAACTATAAGTATTCCAAACTTAAACTAACCACAGCCGTTAATACGTACTAAAGATAAACATGGCTGCGCGATGCAACGGAAGCTGTCCCCCCACATTTTCAGCCTTGCAATCTACATGGCGCGTCCCTCCTATAGAGTCTCTAGCAGCATGCAGTCGAAAGAGAACTCAACAAGAAAGCCGGGAAAGTATACACTCTTTTTATAGACAATGCAGCAGCCTTCGATAAAGTAGACTGAGGGAAACTGCGGAAGGTAATGGAAGAAAGGGGAGAAAGAAGAGAACTAATAGAAAGAGTCAAAGAGATATATGAAGAAACAGAGAACGTGATTAGAACAAGCAAGGGTGAGACAGTGAAGTTTAGGACAGCGGTGGGCGTAAGGCAGGGTTGCCCGCTGAGCCCATCACTATTCACGATTTGCACGGCAGACCTGAAAGAGGTACTCAAAAGAGGTCAAGATGAGGGACTTGTGGTAGGAAAAGAGAAGTTCTGGTCACTAGCATATGCGGACGACACAGTGATGGTAACAAATGAGGAGAAGGTTATGAGGGCAATGATGAAGAGGCTGGAAAGATACCTTGACCAAAAGGGATTGCATTTGAATGCAATCCTTTTCCCATCCCGCTTCTTTCGTCCATGTTTCGATAAGACCCTATTCCGTCAAATTTCTGAATGTATTGCCAAGACTCTTTGTCTTTGTTCTCTACCCCTGCTACGTTCCAGAACAGAAACCTTCATTTTTGCTGTCTCTTCATTTCCACTCCCTCCTCCTCTTCCTCCTCCACGCTACTGCTTAGCCGGATTTTCAATGAAAATTTTTCCCTTCTGTAAATTCTCCTTTTTTTGTGCGCCAGTAGATCCATTTGTCATCTATTCGTAATTTCTGGAATCCTTCTCTTACTCTTCTTCCTTTCCTCTTTTCTTCCTTGGCGATTTCTACTAGTTTTCTCTGTACACTTCGTTCCCCTCTCGTCAGATCATTATCTATGTATATCTCGCTGGCTAGTAGTTTGCTTTTACTCTCATAACCTCTTGTTTTGTCTCCCAGCTCTCTAGACCCGCTAAAATTAGTTTTTTTTCTCCTCCTATCACTCTTGCCCATCTTATCCTGCTTCTCTCCCCCTAGTCCTAGTTCTAGTTGGTCTTCTCAAAGCCTCTCTACCTGTTCTTTCAAATCTTCCTGTATTTTCTTCATCCCGTGTATCATAACGTTATTCCTTTTTCCATCTTGTCTTACATTTCTACTAATTTCTTTACTTTCTCCAGCTCTGTGGTAATCCTCCTTTCTGTTTCCCTTCCCTTTTCTTCTTCTATCACGTTTGGCCTTGGCTGTCCTATTTGCTCATTCCCCGTCGCTCCTTTTTCCTCTAACCGTTTGATTCTGTCACTCATTTCCTGTAGCCTTGTTTTCCATTCTTGCTTTTCTCTTTCCCAGCTTCTTTCTTTCTCATTGAAAGCGTTTTGTAACTTCCTGATTTCCTCGTTCTTCGTATCCAATACCTGCCCTAGGTCTCTAATCTTCTCCGTTAGCAACCTTATTGATACACTTATCCCTTTCAATAGTTGTTTTTTGACTTCTTGCTTCGGTTCTGTCTCTTTCCCTTCCCCTTTCTGCTCCCTCTCTCTTCATCTCTGTACGTATTGTTCGATCGTTCCTCTCTTTGCTGCTTTCTCCGCTTTCGTTGACCTATCCCTCCTTCTTCTAACTTCTTCTTCTGTGTCGGTTCCAGTTTTGCTGACTTCGTTCTCCTTTCTCCCTTTCGCATCAGCGTCTCGCCCTCCTGCCATTTCCCGTACTCGTTTCCTAACCTGTTTAACCGCTTTTCTTCTTCCTCGCCCACGCTATACTCTAACTACACACCCACTGGTACCTCTCCGCCTACTCTTTCCTCTCATTCTAAAACTAGATTTCCGTCTCTTCGAAATCCCTCTCTAACCTTTTAATCGCACTCGTAACCCACGCTTACTTCTCACACACACTCCCTCTAACCAAGTCCCCTATAAATATATAATATATATTATAATAATCGTATTAATATATGTAATAATATAATATAATATAAAAATATATTAATATATATAATTGAAATATATATTAATATAAATATATAATATACATTATAATAATCGCATTATATATATAATATATATTATAATATAATTATATTATATATATATATAATAATAAATGTAATATAAAATAAATATATAATATATATTATAATAATCGTATTATATATATATTAATATAATTATATTATATAATAATAAATATAATATATAATATATAATATATTATAATAATTATTATATATATATACGATTCTACTTATAGTGTAGATAATTAAAAAAAAAAAAAAAGAAATAAGTAATAAAATAAAGAAAAATATAAAAAATACATAAAAATGTTGTTCTAACTACTACCTATTATAAAATAATAATATATAATATTTCTGTCACTACGTGCTATAAAATTATAATATGAGTTATTTCGTACTCAGAGCCAATCTTAGGCGTAGATAGCGTGGATGATCTGCGGGATGTAACACACTTCTCCAATAAAGTAAATCTCAAGTGGATCTGCTTATACCTGCAGTGCTATCAGCGTAAAATGGAGAGTTTCACTAGTGCAGTGTTTTCACGATTCCCATGTCAATCCTCCTCAAAGTAGAAGGTATAAGCTCTTAAAGTAGAGGTCAATCGAGGGTTGATGAAAAGCTTGGCAGTGTACATTGTCATTTCCCATCTTCCATTTAGCCAGTTGTGATCCATGAAACGTCTCAAGAAACGAATGTCTTCGCACATAATCCACATTGATCGAAAAATACTGCACTAGTGGGATCGTTTTCCAATAACTATAACTACACAAAACATCGATTTACAAATATAATCATTTCATGCAGAAAAAATACACATCAAATGAATATGTTTTACGTGTGATATTGATTCGCGCACTTACGCGTGCATATTCATTGGAGCAACACAAATAACGCTCGTGAATAATAATAATAATAATAATAATAATAATAATAATAATAATAGCAAATATTAAATTCTTCGTGTATTAAAAAATGTTCGATAGTACCATGTTCATATGAATATTAACACATTCGTGACCGTTTATATGAATTACATGTATTTACGTCTTTTTAAGTTCTATTCCTGGTTGCCGTTGACGTAATTCACTTCGTTTCACATTTTATTTAATAAAAATAAATTTTTAAATATATATAAATAAAATATATATTATAAATTTATATTTAATTATTTAAACACATAATATTATTATATTATATTTAATATATATAATATTAAAGATAATATTTAAGTAATAATAATTATATTTTATTATTACTATTTAATTTAGGTATATATAATATAATAATATATAATACATAATATATTTATAATTAAATAATACGAAAGTATTAATAAAATAATTATTGAAGAAATATAAGTTATATTTAAATGATATAAACTTGATGCGCNCTTATATTATTAATATTATATATATATATATATATATTTAGTTTATATTTTATATTATAATTATATATTTTTATATTTATTTAATTTATGTTTATATATATTTTATATATTTATATTTATATATTAATATAAATTTTATATATTTATATTTATATACAAAATATATGCAAAAAAATTATTGTTTTTTCGACTTATCATCAAACTAACTCCAGAAATTTTAAATTTTCTTTCTACTCAACTTTTTCAAATTACCTGTAATATAATACTAAATAAATTTAGCACAATAGTAACAAGTGGTCTATTTAATCTACCTATAAAGCAAATATACAAATTATAAAAATCTTTTTATATTAAACAACACATAATTGCAACATTGATATTTCAAAACAAATTTTATCATTTTTTATCCTTGCTTTAACGATACAAGTTTGCTGCAACCAGTTTTAGAATTTCATTATTTTGTCACCGGTACTAATTATTAAAAAAAAGGAAAAAATATGTTAACCACGAATGTATTAACATTGTGATTTAAAATATATCTGAGCATTTAAATAATTAAAGTTAATGTATAAGTATTAGGTCGAGTCATAAATAACTTCCGATGCGGCTATGTATTAGGTTGTTCGGAAAGTCGTTTCGTTTTTCTTTTGTAAAAATACAGACAATTTTTGCTTCGAAGTTAAACCTAAACCTTTCAAGTGATCATAAATAATTGAATTTGATAAATTTAACCTTTCATCGATCTCATGCGTTACTATTTGTCGGTTTGCATCAACTAATGCCATTATTGCGTCAGCAAAAAACGAAACGACTTTCCGAACCACCTAATAGAATCTATTTTTCGGATTTACCAACTATAAATCACCAAAACAAACGGATTTTCGATATCACTGTATAGATGAGAATACAGTTAGTCTGCTGTCAACTTTTTTATGCAATCAATGTTACATTTAACCGTTTTTCTTAACTTCTGAAATGGATAGTAAAAAATGCATATTCGACATGTAACGTTTTAGGAATTTAAACAAGACAATAGCACTAAAATGGCAGTTGAAAAAATATACAGTGTATACGGTGCAGGACTGATAACTGATAGAACAGTCAGAAATTAGTTTGTAAAATTCCGTTTTGGAGATACGACCTTAACACTAGATATACCAGACTAGTCATTTTGACTGGTTGACGACGCCATTTTAATTTCAAATTTATACTTTATGTAACATTTGATTTCTGTAAAAAATGTAAAAATGTCTATAAATCCAATTATCTATTAAAATTATTATTGTTAAACATTTTTTGTTATTTTTTAAGAGTAAAAAAAGACTGGAAGCCTCAAAAAACATTTCTTTTTATAAACCAGTCATTTTGATTAGTGTGGTAGAAATAGGTATACTAAAAATGGTGGTATATCTAATGTTAAAAGTAATATTAGAGCAAAATCCAATTAAATACATCCAATGGATGCAAATAGTGCAAAAAAAAAAAAACTCCTTGAAAAGTGTCCTGCACTTATCAGTCTCAGTAACGCCATTCTTTGTCTTATAAAAAAAACGGAAGTTATTTATGACTCGACCTAATAAATAAATATATTTGTATTATATGAGAAAAAAAAACTAGATAATGTGAAGAAAATAAAGAAAAAAAAATATTGATTGAGGAAGTATACAGAGTTATTTTTAAATCAACGAATTTTTATCATGTATGCTTGTATATATATATATATATATATATATATATGTATGTATGTATATACTTCAATCATGCACAAAGAGAGAAAACACTATCGATTCGTTTAATCGTATAGATGTAATGTGTACTTATATACGTGTATATATATGTACGTTAATATGTGAATATACGTAAGTAGTATATATTGATGAGCACTTACGCCTACCTACATACTGTGTAAATATACGTGTTTACGTGTACGCATGTTTTGTGTGCTGATACCTCTTTTCCATTTATGAACCAAGTTAAATGAGGAACAGGTAACGCCGCTGAGGACGAACAGTTTGCTTCTAAATAATCACCGATCACATAAACGCTCTTTTCGAACTGTATCATCGGATTCTTAGTCTGTGGTACTATTAACAAAAAATATTATTATAAAACTGTAATATATATATATAATTATAATATTTAAATTTATATATATATTTATTTTATTATTATATTATATTATTTATATTTATATTATACTATATTTATTATTAATTAAATTTTTTTTATTATTAAAAAAATTAATTAAATATTATATTATTACTATATTTATATATATATTTAAATATTAACATTTATATAAATATATTTAATGTAAATTAATTATTTATTTATACACTAGATATACCACAACAGCCATTTTAATTCAAAATTTCTACTTTATGTAACATTTGATTTTTGTAAATAATTTAAAAATGTCTATAAATGCATTTATCTATTAAAATTATTATTGTTAAACAATTTTTTGTTATTTTTTAAGAATAAATAAAGACTAGAAGCCTCAAAAAGTATTTTTTTTATACACCAGTCATTTTGACTAGTGTGGTAGAAATAGAAATACTGAAAATGGTGGTATATATATCTAGTGTTAATAAAATTGAATATAAATAAATTAAATAATAAAATTCTATTATTAATAATTAGAATTTGTAATATAAAAAAAAAGAACATTAACACACACATACACACTAGATATACCAGACTAGTCATTTTGACTGGTTGACGACGCCATTTTAATTCTAAATTTCTACTTTATGTAACATTTGATTTCTGTAAATAATTTAAAAATGTCTATAAATGCATTTATCTATTAAAATTATTATTGTTAAACAATTTTTTGTTATTTTTTAACAATAAATAAAGACTGAAAATCTCAAAAAGCATTTTTTTTATACACCAGTCATTTTGACTTGTATGATAGAAATAGGTATATTGAAAATGGTGGTATATATCTAATGTTAATAAAATTTAATATAAATAAATTAAATAATAAAATTCTATTATTAATAATTAGAATTTGTAATATAAATAAAAAAAAAGAACATTAAATATATTGAATAAAAAATATACTTAATGTTATTTATTTTAAATATAAATTATTATGAAAAATTATTGTTCATACTATACAGTGTATTCTATAGATATAGTGTATTACATAGAAACATACTATAAATAAAGTATATTATACAGGGTGATTCATGTAACGGGGACATGTAATAACTTTTTTTTAAGTAACAATAGAAAAAAATGATAAAGGAAAAAGTTATATGGCACAACAAATGTCAACTTTCTATGACCTTACTTTTTTTGAAAATGCATCGATGCACTCGCCAGATGCAGTTGCACTTTTTTTTTAAATAGAACTTTATATTTTTTTTTACACTATTCGATTCCTTTTTTTATTTTGCGTTAAAAAGTATTAAGTGAAGGTCATCGAAATGTCAATAGTTTACGAAATATTTGAAGTTTTATATCAGCAATGTATTTTATTAAAATATAAGTGTTCGAATGTTCCTCCATTGTATTCTAAACATTTTCTAACGCGCTTTTTTACATTTTTCATTACATTTGTTAATTGATATTGGAACAATACATTGTTATACGCTCTTTTAGACCATGTTTGTTCATTGTGTCTATTGAACATTCCATTATTAGTAAAAGTGCATTCATCTGTCCATAAAATTCTTTCTGCAAAATTTTCCCTTCGTTGTACTTGTCTAAAAAAAAAAATTGACAAAAACGCATTCTTCTAATATCATCCCCCACATGTAAAGTGTGTCCTATCGAATAACGATATGGATGTATATTCACGTCCTTTTACATCAATCGATGATTTAAAGGAGCGTATAACAATGTATTGTTCCAATATCAATTCAAATCAATGTAATAAAATACATTACTGATATAAAACTTCAAATATCTCGAAAACTATTGACATTTCGATGATCTTCACTTAATACTTTTTAACACAGAATAAAAAAAGGAATCGAATAGTGTAAAAAAAAATCTAAAGTTCCATTTAAAAAAAAAGTGCAACTGCATCTGGCGAGTGCATCGATGCATTTTCAAAAAAAGTAAGGTCATAGAAAGTTGACATTTGTTGTGCCATATAACTTTTTCCTTTATGATTTTTTTCTATTGTTACTTAAAAAAAAGTTATTACCCGTCCCCGTTACATGAATCACCCTGTATATTAGTATACTACAGTTATAGAGTATACTTAATAGAAAAAGTTCATTCTGTTATGTATCTATATTTAATCAAGATAATGCGTTATCTAAAATGAATGAAAATACTACTGACCTATCACTTTCATTTGTACATTATCGGAAGGCTTTGTATAAATAGGAGTTGAAGTAGAAACTGCACAGGAATATGTACCGGACATTGACAAACCAACGTCCTTTAGTTTGATTGTCGTGCCATTTTCCGAGTACTAAAAAAACAAAAACAAAAAGACATAATTTTAAAACAGACAAAAAAAAAGGAAAGAAATAAAAAACTAAATGAAAAAGTGTATATTTTAATTCTTTGTTCTTTTTTAATACTATTTTCTTACCTCCATATCTGTACCGTGTGGGGGTGTTATTACAAAGGGTGGACTTCTCTCTTTTATATATTGAAATATTTTCTCTTCATTCTTCATAAATTCTATTTTATATAGTTCATCATCTGGAACACTGTGATTACAATAAAGCGTAACCGTACTGCTGCGGTTAACGTAACGTGGTGCAATTAATTGCACCTGCACCACACAAGTTGCATCTACAAAAACAAAAAATATTTATTATTATTTATTACAAACTTTATTCATCTTTTATCTTAATTATTATTTTATTCATATATACTTATATATATATATATATGCATGAATTATTATATGTATGTATGTATGCACATGTATGGATGTAATTTGTAAAATGTATGGATGATGTTTCATAATGCAATACAATTGCAAAATATGTAATACAGTAATATATAACAGTAAAACATACATATTATATATATATACATATAATATTTTTATTAATTTTTTATAGTTTAAAAAATTTTTTTATATTTAAAAAATACAATTATTTATATTTAATAATTTTATCAAATTATATTTATAGAATATATATATATATATATATATATATATATATATATATATATAAAATAGAATATATATATATATATATATATATATATATATATATATATATAATAAAAGATCATCTTTTATCTTAATTATTATTTCGTTTACACATACATACTTATATATATATATTATTACAATATAAAATATATTGTTTATTTTATTTAATATTAAATATAAATATATAATATATATATATTATTTTTACTATTTTTCTATAATTAAAAAAAAAAATATTTTTATATTTAATAATTTTATCAAATTATATTTATATAATATAATAATTATATATATATATACAATATAATTTATTTATTTTTTTATTATTAGTAGTAATCTTGTAATAGTAATTAGTATTACAGTAGTATTTTTTATAATAGTAATTAGTATTACAGTAATATTTTTTGCAATAGTAATTAGTAAATTAGTAATTTATTATTACAATACAATAAGATATATAAAAAAAAAATCTATAATAAAATAAAAATAATATATATAGATAGATAGATAGATAGATAGATAGATAGATAGATAGATAGATAGATAGATAGAAAAATAATTATTGATATAATTGGGTTTGAATTTAATTTTGAATGCACCCAATGTAATCAAAAAATTACTGTTACATTTTTTTTAATGATTTTTTTTTTTCTTCTTTTTTTAGATAAAAATTGATGTCAATTAAAAGATGAATAATATTGTTGATGGAATAAAAAATATAATAGATAAATATAAGATAATCTTTTCATTGATGAAATAATGTCTAGGTCGATTATAACGACTTGCGGTGGTGTCCTGTTGCTGGGAGGTGTTACCGTATCGATCACAGGAAACGCGTGTTACGTACGTAAGTAATACACATTGGATATTATTATAAAATAACAATGAAGATAAAATTCTATAGAAAATGATAAACAATAATTTTCCTATAACATCTTTACTTCATTAATATTTTATTATATAATATCATGTTATACGATAGAAATATTGAAACAATTTAAAATAAAAAAAAAATAAAAAAAAAAAAAAATAAATGAAGATATTCTGGTTACATCGATTAAATGATTAAATCGATCAATAATTATATTACAAACATTTTTTCTTTTTTTTTACAAAATTAAACAAATTTATNAAAAAAAAAAAAAAAAAAAACATTTAACCAATGACAATTTGTAACAAACAATGAAACATGCAATTATGATTAGAAAATTAATTTGATCAATTATAAATGTGAATATAATTAATAATGCTTGATCAATGATCACAATTTTACTGTTAAATATTTCTATTAATTAATCATTTTTATTTATTTAATATAGTTTATTCTAATTTTTGTTTTCTTGTATTTTGTAAAATTCATCGTATGAAATAATTAGATACATTGAATTAAAATCTAACGTGATGTAACATTTAATTATGATATTTAATATTAATAATATAATATAAAAAATGATAATAATAATAATAATAATAATAATAATAATAATAATAATAATAATAATATAAGCTTTTTTTTCAAAATGTTAATAATTCATTGAAATGTTATATAACTTACGTGAGAATAATTGTACAATATTTAAGAATACAACTTTTTTCCAGTGGGCAAATGAACGCGGCATTATTGCAGGATATGTATATACATATACATATATATATATATATATAATAAATATATATATGTATATATATTTGGATATGTATAATATAATAAAATTATTATTATATATATTTAATTTGTGTTTAATCTTTTTTTTTATTTTTTCTTAATTTTAAAGATTTTTTTTTCTTGTTTTTTTTTTAGGGGGGAGGGGGGTATTTAATTATTCTACTTTGACTGCTTATTATAAGAAAAAAAAGTGCGACTATGTTATAATATAATATGTGCCTTTAAAAACTACACAAACTTCGTGCGGTGTCGTCGCTACAACTGACATACTACATTCGATCGTTCAACCGACCTCCATAGACTACAAAACATAGAGTGGAAGCTTCCTACATTAATGAATTTATGACAAAAATGTATATATATATAAATACTTATATATATATAGATTTATTTCATGAGAAAATATTAAAGATAAAATCATTTCTTCTATCATATAGTTGTTAACTTGATTAACTTAACCTAAAAAAAAAACATATATTTTTATTTCACTTCAATTTCCTATTAAATTCAAATACACATATATATACATATTATAAATATTAACTATAAAATTATTTTACTTCCTGTATTTTAAAAACATATTATAACATTTTTTATTTATTCATTTTTGTTTTTCAATTTAAAATTTTCCATCATTTGAATTAAAATAAAATTCCTTGTCTTACTTGCGTCACTTTCTTTTCTGTTGTTTTTTTTCTTTTTTTCTTTTCAATTTCGATCATTATTTCTATTTAATATTTTGTTTCGATCAATTTGAAATTTGTTTCGTATATATTTATTATTATTGTTATTATAAAATGGAATATATGTAATTATTTCTTTTCTTTTTTTTTTTTTTTTAAATAAATCAGTCAATATTATAGAAAAATTATAAACGTTTATAGTATATTTGTACGTAAGAGATATTGGGTAAAATTTTAACGTAAATCTATGACAGCGCCATCTGTACATTCTTGACCAAATAAAGGAACTAATGTTTATACCCGCCAATTTTGAATTCAATTTTTCTTCTTCTTACATTTTTCCATGAAATAATATATTATAATGTTTAAAAATAATAATAACATGATTAATAATTAATCAATGTTCATACTTGATAACGTAATAATATGAAAATCAATTAAATAAATTCTTATAAAGAATAATTTATATAGTTTATGTTTATTACCAATCTACAAGACAAGTCAAATGATATATCCCTAGTATTGTAAATTCTAAATCTCTCTATGTGTAATGATAATAATAATACGTGAAAGCCTCAATGATTCTGTCAGCGAAGTACAAAATGTAGAAAATGTATTTGAATTGTTTCAAAAGTCTAATATAATCTACATCAATATGGATAACAGAGTTTATTCATCGATACGACGTGAAATGACACGAGACGAGTGTAGAAAATGTTTACGCTATCTAGGTAAGATTACAATAAAAATAACTATTTTCTTTAATAAGTAATAATTAATAAACCCGTTTGTCTGTGTGGTGTATTTTATCTTAGCATAATTTCTTTTCCCTTTTTTCAATGAATATGTTTTTTATTAGCCATTTTTTGTCTTATTTCTTTCAACTAATTGCTTTACCTTCAACGTTAAACAGTTAAATGACACAAAATGATTTTCATGATTAAGAATGATATCCAAATTTTCTTTTATTTCATTTTAATTATGATGAACATTTCCTTGGGGTATTTTTCTATTGTACTACCATATTACATGTGTGTGTATATCTCTTATATTAATTATACATACATATATATATATATATATATATATACATCTTTAATTTAATATCTGTAATATTAATATGGCATTGAATAGTCAATATTTTAATAAAATTCTACAAATGAAATTTTTCATTATACAGAATTAGATGCTTATGGAAATATGGTATCGGTTTTACGTGCTCAAGGACTTTTAACTAGTAGCAAACAAAGATTGTTACAAGAACTTGCTAAAATTCTTCATATATCTAATGAAAGACATCGTGCAGAAGTACGTAGAGCTGTTAACGATGAAAAACTCACAATGATAGCCGAACAGTATGTATCCATATATTTATTAGAATTTGTTTATTTTACAGTATTGTATAATAAATATTATTGATTTTATTATATTAAACAGGTTAAACGGACCAAATACTGCTTTAGATTGGATCATGGAAGGTCGTCGTTCAACACCACTTTTACCTAGATTGAAAGCACGAAATGCTTTTACAATGTTAGCAAACAGTCTATCACTTGCAACAACTCGTGCTAATGAAAAAAGTCCAATTGAAGAGAACAAGGAGGAAGATAAAGGTGGTCTTATCATATCGAATGAATTATATTACTTTCTTTTTTATTTTTATTGATTTATTTATTTTTTTTTTTTTCTAATGAAAGAATTAACATAAAGTCTAGTTCTCTTAGAATTTAAAAAATAATTATTTTGTTTAACACTTTGTAGAAAAATCTTTAATCTCTCAAGATTATATGATCTTGGGATGGTGATGTATTTTATGGATACATTTTTGTTCTATCCAATTTTATTTTGGTGAAGCCAATTAAGTTGACTCTCTCTCTCTCTCTCTCTCTTTCTCTTCCTTTGTTTAAATATTATGCTACTTCTTTTTATTATGTGAAAAAAAAAAAATTGTAAAGAAGTCGTTGTTACGTACAACCATAAAAAACTGGTCAGTTGTTAGTTTTTTTTTTTTGTGTAATATTATTTTGGAATGTCTTTTTAATTGATACATTATTTTTTTTTTTTTTTGTTTTAATTTACACATTTAATTAATCTGCAAATGTTTATTTTCAATCAGATATATTAGATGAATCGAAGAAATGTTTAAAAATTGAAAAAGTATCATCAGTTGAAGCAGAATCATGTAATGCCCAAGCAACTATCAATTGTAGAAAAAGGTCCATACACGAAACAAATAAGGTGTCCTGTTAATTTTGTATTATAATATATTTGAAGTATTATCTATTTTCTTTAAATGGTGATAATAAAATAAAGACTACATGTTATAGGTACTAAATATTGATAAGGATCAAGAAAAAAGGCCTATAAAAATAAAATACCAAGATATTCAACAAGTTAACTCTGCCAAACAAGATCTTTCTTCATTTTCACCACCACACAATAAGGTTATTTTTATGTTATACTAAGGATGCCCTGTCACGCGTTGCTGTGGCTCACAATCAGTCCGATACAAACGTCTTTAAGTCAACGAATTACCTTATACCGCCATTTGTTAGAATCTTATCGAACTAACAAAGATAATCATGACTCTTTGTTAATAAACAAATAATTCGCAATAAAATAATATTACGATTATAAATTGAGATATAAACTATCCTATCTTTCAAGTTGGATGAAACTGCACACAGTGTGCAAAATTTGATTAAAATCGGTTCAGTAGTTTAAGAGTCCATTGCGAACAAACAACGTGACACGTAATTTATATATATTAAGAAGATATATCTGACCTTTTACAGGCAATGTTCAACTATTTGCATGTATAAGATTGATTTAATCATATGAATATAAAAAATTATATTAATTTACAGGTATTGGTGTTATCTTCTAATTCATTGGAGACATTGAATCATGCTAATGAAAATGAAACAGTACTCGAAGCTAAAAAGGAGCAAAATGAAACAACGATTTCACAGCACCAAGGTGTTACTCTTATCCCACTCTCTGTGATGTGTGCAGGATCTAGTCTAATAGGTTTAACAATATTTTTTTATCTTTATTAACTCTTTGGGGCACGGTGGGATTAAAAGTGTCGTCCCACCTTTTTGATACACCATAATGCACGGTGAGACATTTTTAGTCCCACCTCGAAATATTATTGCAATAGCTACACATGCTCATAAGTTTATACATTTCGTCTTATTTACTCAAAACAATTGGTTATTAACTCTTTTTTTTTTATGTTTTTACATTATTACATTATGTAATAGCATTATTAATAAAAAATATACCAATTTAGTTTAATTTAAAACGTAATCAAATTTCTATGCAACATAGGGCTATTTTTAACCGACTTCAAAAAAGGAGAAGGTTCTCAATTCGACTGTATTTTTTTTTTTTTTATGTTTGTTACATCAGAACTTTTATTATCTGAAATTCTATGCCGCAAAGAGTTAAACCATCTTTTTCTTTAAGTATTTTATATATCTATAATATTAATTACTTTGTATTTTTATAATAGCACCTTCGAAAGATGTACTGTCAGAGAGTACAAATACTTTGGTATCCGTTCATTCAACAATTAATAGTAATACAAAAGTTACTACTTGTGCAACTAATTCCACCAAGAATAAAGATAAAACAACAGTACAAAATAAGATTAATACAAGATTACCAGTTAATACTGGAACATTAGATAGTTTATCATCACACATCAGAAATAGTGAAACACAATCAGAAAATCGAGATATACAATTACGTCGTATGTATTATTATTTTCTCGAAATATTAGTTCGTCTCAAAAATTTCTTCCTTTTTTTTTGGTGATAAGTTAAACAATATTACATGCGTAATATACTTTGTTTTTTATATTTTATATTATTTTACTAAATAATATCAATTCTAAGTCTATTTTACCTTTTTCTATACTTGAAATTATTCAACCTAAAAAATATTGTGCCAGCAGAATTACTAAAAGAAAAGAAGAAACTTATGGGACGACTTAATATTATATTATATTGTATAATATTAATATTAATATATTAATTTTATATATCTTAACACACTATCGGTGGATAACACTATGAGCTTAACTCACACGTATAGTGAACAAAAATTAGTGAAGTATGAAAAAAGTGCACTTTTCAGAAAACATGTAAAATGTTTTATATGTAATAATTACTTAGGTTGGAACTTAAATAATTGCAACTATTTATTCACCGATACAAAAGAGTTACATGTTTGCACCTGTTACTGTCCTTCAAAGTAGTCACCAGCGTTGAGTAGAACCCGTTAGCAGAGCCTATTCTGTTGATGGTGCGAATGGAGCGGTCTACTGCCTGTCGAATCTCTGGAACAGTTCTGAAGCGAATGCCACGATGTGTTTCACATGAATTGACGGAAATGTAGAAATGGATGCGTTACAAAGCTGCTCAGACGCACCTGGAAGGAGAGGCTTTCTTACGCCGTATCGTAACACTGGATGAGACATGGTCTCATGGCAGTAGACCGGTCCATTCGCACCATCAACAGAACAGGCTCTGCTAACAGTATACAACACCTTCCAATTCGCTGGCAATGGGTTCTACACAACGCTGGTGACTACTTTGATGGATAGTAACAGGTGCATACATGTAACTCTTTTGTATCGGTTGTGAATAAATAATTGCCACTATTTAAGTTCCAACCTACGTACAAAGAGTTGTGCAAAACAAAATATTCATTAAATGATAAAAAAACAAACATTGGTAAGTGTTTTCTTAACACTTAACGTACGTTCTGTATAAAAGGTATTAATACCTGACCAGTCGATAGTGTATTAATATTTCTTAATTATTATACATTTTTGTTTTATTATAATGATATATTTGTATTTATGATTACAGCACCAACTTCAAAATCAGAAGTAGCAAATTTAAATCCTTGTGTTAAAAATTTACCAACGACAGTACAAGCTAACGTGAAAACTGTTTCATCTATTAAATCTGCTATATCAAGTATGTATTTACGAAATGGAATAACACTGTATATATATATATATATGTATATATGAGCCTTTTATTTTGATAGTGGCCTAACTCCATTTATGTTCGAATCGAGATATTGAAGAGTTTGCATTTCAATTAAATTGCGTGCAATTAAATATATAAGTACAGGATACTAACGAGTAATACTGTTTAAATGTATCTAAAGGTGTTCAATTTATAGTTCCTATTAAAATAGTGGCAATTATTAAATGAATAATATGCGTTTTCTTATCAACAATGGAATTAGGCTACTTTCAAAATAAACTTTTTCATTGCTTCATTAATCAGCAAATTTTCTTCTTACAAAATTTTCATGATTTTATATAAATTATTAAGAAATTGTTTCAGAATGAATAGAGCAAGAGCCCACGACAGCCAGACCTTCGTTATTTTATAAAAGCTGAAATTTTTTCTGTGCATGTCCTCTATACAGGTAAGAACGACCAGCGACTATAAAATTTAGGTTGTGATTACTTGGGTAGATAACAGGTAGTAAAGGTGTATAAAATAGTACCTCAAATTTGTTAAAGTATAAAGCTCAATTTTGGTATATTTTCTTCGAGATAACTTTAGAAATCTCGTCATCTGTATAAACTTTAATAAATTATAATTATACTTTCATTATAGTATAAAAGAGACCAGGTAGATTGCTTTACCGGTATTCTCCATTGAGATACCCAGCATGCAGTTTAGGGGTGTCTGGCAAGTGGTAGCAACTGTCATAAGTGTCCGGCAATGGATTGCCGAGATTTCTAAAGTTATCCCGAAGAAAATATACAAAAATTGAGCTTTATACTTTAACAAATTTAAGGTACTATTTTATACACCTTTACTACCTGTTACCTGTCCAAATAACTACAATCCAAACTCTATAGTCGCTAGTCGTTCTTACCTGTATAGAGAACATGCACAGAAAAACTTTCAGCTTTTATAAAATAACGAAGGTTTGGTCGTCGTGAGCTCTTTGGGCTAAAAAAAAAGAACATGTAAAAATGTAACTATTACAGTAGCTAACTCGATATTTTTGAAAAATGGAATTAGACCCATTTTAAAACTAAACAGCTCATATATGTATATAGTTTATTTTCTTTGTATTAAGTAATATAATTTTTTATAGCTTGTGCACGATTTACAGCTCCTGGAACAATGGTATCAAGCGGTCCTGGTCCACCTATTGTTAAATCTGTGGTAACAAATTTAGCATGTAAAAAATTGCCAGTTGCGATTATCAATCAATCTGCTGCTAAAATGGTATGCATTAAATAAGACAATTTTAAATATATTTATACATAATATATGCATTCAATATATATATATATATACACACACATGATACATAGTTATAGAGTTATATTTATTTTACAGCGCATGACATTAAATTCAGATAAAACTGTAAATATAACTAATCATCCTAATAAAAAATTAACAACTAAGACTAATGTAATAGTAATACAAAAAGGAAGTAACAAAGGCATAATGCTGTCTCATGCAGGCAAGGTATTTTATCTTATTGTAATTAAATCCTTTAATTTTTTTTTCTTTTTTTTTTTTTTTTATAATAACTACATAATAAAATTAACAATTTTTTTTCTTTTTTTTTTTTTTTTTAATTTCTTTTTAGGAAGTATTAGGTAAAGTAATAATGGGAGGAAAGAAATTATCGGTAGCTAATCAACAAAATCCAAGTACGGTTAACATTTTACCACATCCTATTAATTTAGATAATTGCAATCAAACACCAACAATGTTAACAACTACGCATGTGGATACTATAAAAACAAGTATAAAGGTACACACATTTAATACTTATTCATTATTTATGTTCTTGATTATAAATATAGTAGTAATATTATCTTTTTTCCATATAAATTTGTGTTGTATTTTTATTAAATTTGTCGTAAGACATTGTACATGTACCATTTGCAGGAAGACAAGTAAAATATGTACATATATACAGCATCGTAGAGCTTTTCACTTTTTATTAAATAATAATAATAATAATTCTTATAAATATAATCCAGTATTTATCTTCTTCACACTATAATAATGAATTTATGTAATATAAAAATGGCAAAATAGAATATAAGTAGTCGCTTATTACAGGAAGGAGATAACAATGAAGTGCATTTAAAAGATACTGGATCTTCTTTCAAAACTAACAGTTCAATTAATACATTAGAAGAAACAGTATGTAGGTAAGAAATACAATTATAATTAATCAATAGAAAATACAGTAACAATTAATTGTACAATTTTATATTTTATTCATAATATTTATTTGATAGAAAATCTAACGAAGTCTGCCGAGAAGTTCATTCTCAAGTAGTAAATATTGCAAATCTTAAAAAACTTAAGAGAAATGAAGAAGATCGTACATATTCTAAAACAATTACACAAGGTAAGCTTTGATATCAAACAAATGTATTAGGTCAATAAGTATGAAATGTCTGATTACCTAAAGCCTCAAGTTTGATACCGAATATCTCCGATATTTCACTCCGATTGTCCTTTATTTTTTTTTTTTTGTATTAAGAAGGTACGCCATCTGGCTTTCAGATGCACTCTTTTGTTTTTAATAGTCTATCGTATTGTCGTCTGGAGGTTAAATATTGTANCCAGAGGACTCTTAATTGAGGAATTTAGGCCCCAACAATTATAAACTAAACAAATTCAATGTAATTTTCACGATATTATCAAAAATGAATCGTTAGATAATGTTTGTTATTTCAATATTGTATAGAATTCATATAGTGTTCAAGTATAAATCTTTAAATATCTCGAAACAAGAGATATATGACTTAGACCACTTTCATAATTATGGGCACATATAATGACACTTTAAATAAGAGAATACTTTTTATTTCAACTTATTATGGTTTTATATATATATATAAATATGTCATTAAGTATGAAATGTCGGATTACCTAAAGCCTCAAGTTCATACCAGATATCTCCGATATTTCACTTCGATTGTCCTTTATTTTTTTTTTTGCATTAAGAAGGTACGCCATCTGGCTTTCAGATGCACTCTTTTGTTTTTAATAGTCTATCGTATTGTCGTCTGGAGGTTAAATATTGTAAGCCATGGATAAGACAAAAATGCGAGTTATTTTCGAATATGAGTTCCGTCGTGGAACTAATGCAGTGCAGGAAAGCCGAAATGTTAACAAAGTGTTCGGCAAGGATGTAGCTAACTAACGTACAGTATTTCGATGCTTCAAAAAATTCCGATCTGGAGATTTTGATCTTGAAAATGAACCACGTGGGTGGCCTAAGAACAAGGTGGATGACGACCAACTGAAAGCTGTAGTGGAAGCAAATCCATCTGAAACGACGCGTGGACTAGCAGCAAGGTTTGAAGTTACCATTCCAACAATATTAAGTCATGTGAAAGCAATCGGAAAAGTAAAGGAACTGGATAGGTTTGTTCCGCATGAGTTGAGCGAGCTTCAGCAACGGAACCGTTTCGAGGCTTGCTGTTCTTTGGTATTAAGACTAAAAGGCGATCCATTTTTGCATCGGATAGTCACCTGCGATGAAAAGTAGATACCTGATAATCGCAAGCGTTCGGCACAATAGTTGGACAAGGATAAAGTGCCAAAACACAACCCAAAGCCGAGTATACACCAAAAACAAACTAATGGTGTCTGTTTGGTGATCCAGCACGGGTGTTATACACTATAGTTTTATGAGACTTGTGCAATCAATAACAGCGGACCTCTACTATGAACAGTTAGAAGAAATGATGAGGTAGCTACAAATTAAGCAGCCGAGATTGGTCAACAGGGATAGACCAATCCTCCTGTAGGACAACGCTTGACCACACGTTGCAAGATCGACGTTACTTAAACTACAGGAACTGGACCTGGAAACACTTTGTCACCTACCAGACTCGTCAGATCTCGCACCAACCGATTACCATTTTTTCCGAGCTTTAGACAATTTTTTGCAAGGAAAAATATTGAATTCCCAACATGCGATGGAAAATGCCTTTCGTGATTTTATCACCAGCTGCTCTTTAGATTTTCTCGTTAGCTGTATTAATAAGCTATCGTTAAAATGGCAACGTTGTATTGATAATTTACGTGCATATTTTGATTAATTATATTATTTAACGCCAGAGATATAATAAACCAAACTTTCAGTCTCAAATCAGACATTTCATACTTAATGACCTAATAGTTATTAACACACTATCGGCGGGTTGGGTATTTTTACCCGTTCCACAGACTGGCGCTAGTCGGCGGGTCGCGTATTAATACGTTTTATACAAAACTTAAGCTAATTTTCAATAAAATACTTATTAATACTTGTTTTTTTTTTCATTGTCACTAATTTTTGAGCAGGAATGATGTTTCTGATTGTTACTTTTTGTAAAATCTGACCAGTGTTTAGTCTTAAATTAATGAATTTTTAAGAAAAACTAATAATTTGATAAAATGTGCTATTTTGACATTGCAAGCTTCGTGCTTACAAAGTAACATAAATTCAGTTAATTAATTTTGATAGCATTGAGTTTAAGTTATCTACATCTTCGAAATACTATTTGATATCTATTTTTCAAATTTTATTGAAATCATACTATTAAATGTGAAGTTATAAGATGTTTTCTAAATCACGCTCACGACCTTCCCGACGATAGTGTGTTATTATTATTGTAAATAAGCATTAATGTATTCATTATTTGAAAAAAGAAAATCATCATTAGTATGTTATATTGTAAAAAAACCAAAAAAAAAAAAAACGTTTTTCCATTTATATTGTAATACGCATTTAATTATTTTATATATATATATATATATAAGTAGTTTGTATTTATATAATTTTTACAATTATATCCTTGTATATGGGGTATTCTATACCAAATCAACCACTTTTGACCCTGACCCTTTTCGATTTGGTTGAAAATTTTTCATCCTATTCTACCCCATGAAAAAAAACAGTTCTCAGAATTTTTTCAAACTCAAATTTTTTTACCAAATCCAAAAATAAGTGGCTCTTTTTTTTTAAATGGCTACAACTTCTTCAAAATTCAACCTATTGAGACGTTTGGTAGAGAAAAGTTTGAAAAAAATTCTGAGAATTGTTTGTCACAGGATAAAATAGAATGAAAAACTTTCAGCCAAATCGAAAAGGGTCGTCAGGATCGATCAAAAGTGGTTGATTTGATATGGTGGAAATATCCCATATGTATTTTTCGGATGATATTATTTGTAAGAAAAAAAAAAAAAAAATTAACAAGATCATAAATTTATCTTATGTTTAGATAATTCTCCAAATAATCTACAAAAGGAAGATACACTTAGCAGTACGGAAACGAATACAAATATATTTGAAAATGGATTTCAATCGACTGACATTAACTTAGAAAATTTTGAGTGCCTGGTGGAAAATGGTGATCATATCCCGGAAAATAAAAACAATTCGATATCATCTATTACCTATAAAAATGAACCGAGTGATTCGTAGTAGCAAATTAATTACGAAAATACATTTTTTCAATGCTATAAATACAAAAAAAGGCTCATGTGATGATTTATAGTTTCGAGAACATACATTTTATAAGATTATATATATATATGTATATGTATGTATATGTATGTATATATATATATGTTCAATTCATAAGATATTTTAATACTTTCAAAATGAAAAAATATAATATACCTATATACAATACTTTCAATTTCAATAATAATAATAATAATTGTTAGAACATATATACATGTATATACATATATAATTGTTCTAACAATTATTAATTATTACATACATATTACACACGTATATATATGTATAACATGTATATATATGTGTATAATATATAATATGTATATATTACGTATATACGTATGTACGTATATACGTGTATATATACGTATATACACGTATATATATAAAATGTACATATATATATATATATATATGTTATATATTGTTTTTTAAATATTAAAATTATCA